AACCACTAAGAAGAATATATGCAGTGTATTATTTGTTGAAACTGTACTTCCGATTTGATTTGAAACTGTCTCATTGCTATCTGTTTATTAATAAAACTTTGAAAAAAAAAACATTTTAGACAAGATAACACTAAACTGTCTGGGTGGATCCTCTTGCCTTCAGAGTGCTAAGATTATAGGTATGTACCACCATGCTAGGCTTACATCCATGTTTTATTCTTCGACTACATCACTGTGTGTCAGTTACCTCATCTGTAAAATAGGAATAAAAATAATACCTACTTCAAAGAGTTGTTATGAGGTTTAAAAGAATTAATATTTGTATGATGCTTACATTTACAGTATAATGTTCAACTTTACCTGACAATGCCAAATTATTCTCCAAAGCTATGGTGTCACTTTTCACTCCCAACAGCAGTCTAGGAGAGCCCAAGGTGCTCCAGACCTTTCATAAGTTTATTACACTTTTTTGCCAAATGTATGGGTATGAAACAGTGGTTCATTAATATTTTGTACAATCTCTCAATTGCTAATGAAGATTAATGTCCTTCCACGTACTCCAAGGTCAATTGGGTTTTCTATCATATGAAATGTCTTTTATCCTGTGATAGCCTTAACTATTAAATGCAAGATTTCATGGCAATCTTCACATTTCTTTGGACTGTGTTTTAGAGGTGCTCATCTGCTCTTGTTTCATTGTTTTTTTTTTTTTATGTGTTTAGTACAGGGTCTAAAGGATCTCACTACACAGATCAGACTTGTAGTGATCCTGTTTTCAGCCTCCCAAGCACTAGGATTACAGGCCTGCGACACCGGTCTTAGTCGTTGTCTCAGCTCGTCCCAGGGGCAGGGCCAGTATGGCACACAGGGGATCAAACCCCAGTCCCTGTGCCTAAGCAGGCACTTCAGTCTGCTGAGCTATCTGGCCAGTCCTGCTCTTGTTCTGTTCAGTTCAATTTTTAGTTTTCTCTATTGCATGTCCCTCCATCCCTCTTATCTTAACATTCACTTTTCTACCCAAACTGTTCCTTATGCACTCAGCTTTGGGGATCCTGTGTAAATACTGTGCGCTCTCTAGCCATAGGATCCCCCTGCCAATATTTCTTTATGATGTGTAATTTAAAGGAACTTCTTTTTAGAACTTTGAGTATAGGAAGGTATAGGAAGGTAATAGTCAATGGGCAAAGGAGACCACAGAGGTATAGTACCAGTCTGGGAATGTAGCAGAGTGTACAGCACTTGCCTAGCCTGTACAAGGTCCTTGGTTCAATCCCCAGTATCACATAATAAAAGAAAAATGCAAAATCTCACATATTAACTTAAGAGTATTCCATTGAGATTACTATTTTGAATAAATGAGTCACCCTCTTTTATGCTGCAGAATGAAGAGAATCTCTGAAAAAATACTATATAAATTACCTTGGAAGAGATAATCCTCTGTGTTTTGATCAGGGTTATCAGAGCTCCCAACAATATCAAATGGAGACCTTCCTGCCATCATCTCAAACATTAGGACGCCAAGGGCCCACCAGTCAACACTGAAACCTTTAGAAAAAAAGTTTAAAGCAGTAAATTATCCACTTGGCATGCTTGGAAGTCAATAATTAGAGAATAATTTTACCACATTAATGAAAAATTATAAACACAAGAAAGTAAACTCTCAATGTATTACAATTATCATGATACATATTAAAAATTACAGACATAATTCACTTATCAACAAAGGTAGGTATCTAAAAGAATATTAGAATATAAAATTATAAGGGCCGGCCAAATAGCTCAGTGGATTAAAGTGCAAGCAGGTGCAGGGGCTGGGGGTTCAATCCCCGGGCCTGCCATGCTGGCCCTACCCCTGGGGCATACTGAGACAACAATTGAGACTGGGCATGGTGGTGCATGCCTATAATCCCAGCTGTTGGGAGGCTGTAAACAGGCGGATCACTACAAGTTTGATCTACTAGTGAGACCTTGAACACCTTGTAGACCCTTCCTTCCCTAAAATAAAAAATTTTAAAAAGAATATAAAATTATGAGAAATGAAACATGAATTTCTTTTTTTAAATATACTTATGATTTCAGACTCACGCTTAGCACCTTAATATGTTCTTTTGTGGACACACATTATTTTTAAAAATCTTTTATTCATTTAGTACAGGGTCTCACTACATAGCTCAGACATGTAGTGATCCTCTTGTCTCAGCCTCCCCAACACTAGGACTGCAGGTGTGTGCTACCACACCCAGTTTTGGTGGCCAGCACCGTGTGCCTGGGATTCTGGACCAGCATGGCATGCGGTACCACAGATCCTTGTGCTTGCCAAGCAAGTACTCAGACCATCAAGCTATCTCCCCAGCCCTATACTGTATTTGAGAATGAATACTTTTGGTCTGAAACTTGACCTTTTACTAGCTGATTAAAGACTCCCAAATGAAGAATCCTGAATTTACACTGTGTACGGCTCTCACAAGTGCCCCATCCTCCTTTACATCTACTGAAATCAAACTAAAATCGAAGGAGTCAAATGCTTTAAGACATTTTCTTGGTTTCTGACAAGCAGCCAATGTTTGTAATATGTTTCAGATTACTGGGGGAAACATAAGAAAGCCGAACAATCTTTCAGAAGTGCAAAACTCTGGAATCGTGTGGTTGCTGGTCCAGTCCTTTACTTTGCCACCGTACAGCCATTAGGATCTTGAGTGTGTTATTTAAACTTCCTGCATGTCAGTTTCTTTCATTTGTAAGATGGGAATCTGAGGCATTGTAGAAAGGACTAACTTAGTTAACATAATATAAACTACTTAGAATAGTGCCTATCATTCCTCAGTGTCACAAATAGAGTATCATTCAAATTTGCCCTCTAAAGACCAGGTCCTACTGTCTCTGACTTCAGATCTTGGGGTCTTAAGATAGGACCTTTAACAGCATCCAGAAAATATATTAATAAGATCAGTAGCAAAATACTATAGTAAAATGCAAATGTTTCCATATTTAACCATCCAGCTAACAATGGCTAAAATATCACCTATTAATTTATTACCATAATCTTCTCCTCTTAAAATTTCAGGAGCAATGTAATTAGGAGTACCACAGAAAGTGCTGGTCGTATCTCCTGGCCGTAATCCTTCCTTTTATTAAAAAGAAAGAAAGAAAAAGATCTAAAATTCCATTTTTACATTTGTCTTTTTCTATTTCATCTACCATATAAATTCTCCAAATATAGGTAATACATTAATCTTAAACACATCACGAGGACAAATGCAACAAAATCAGATTACTACTACGTAGGCAGGTAAAAGAAAACCTGTTTTCAATAGACGGTGCTAAAAATTCAGCTCCAATAGATTTCCAAATTGCATTTAAAATTTTATATTCAAGGTAAAATCTAACACAAAAATTTACATTATGAGTGAAATGAAACCTATTTCATAAAGAAAATTGTTTTAAATCCCACCTCCTAACACAATGTTGACATTGTTTTTCTTCTGTTCATTTATGTAAGGTATAAGTTTTTTAGTTTTGTATTTTAAATAGCTATGGGATGGTAAAAATTAAGTCAAAATACTGTATACCAATAAATGTATGTAGAAGAAACAGAACGATCACCAAGAAGCCTTAGCAAATTCAAATTTGTATATACTTAATATATACAGACTCAAAACACAGTAAAATTGGAGAAATTTCACAATCTCGAAGTTGAAATACTTCTATATCTGAAAGTAACCACTCACCTAGACCAATAACTAGTAAGCAGAGAAAATACAAACAAAAAGTAATGCTGAATACACACTGTATACATACACATAGGATATGTATTTCATAAGTATGTATGGCGAGAAAGAAGACAGAAATGAGAAGAGATTCCTTGAATACAGAGGTTACACATTGCTTTTAAGTTTATACACGATACTGACTATATATTAAGTTGACTGAGAACATTTGCAAAGAACATCTAATAAGCCAATGTTATTTTTCAATAAAAATACAATAGAAAAAGGGAGGAAGACTGGAAGAAAGCCATTCTAACTTAATTCATTTGTGTAATAATGTTTTCACTGTTTATATAATGTAATGTTATTTTAATAACTGTAAAAATAGAAAAGGCTGGGAGTGGTGGCACATGCCTGTAATTCCAGCACTCAAGAGGCTGTGGCAAGGGCTGGGGAGATGGCTCAGTAGAATAAACGCTTCCCTGGCAAGCGCAAGGGCCCGAGTTCAATCCCCAGTTCTGCAAAAAAAACATAAATAAAAGGCTGGGGCAGGAAGATCAATCACTGAGTTTGAAGCCAAACTGGGCTACACAGCAAGATGCTGACTCAAAAAAAAAAAAAAAAAAAAAAAAAAAAAAAAAAGCCAGATGTTATTGCTCTGCAGCA